TCGTATTTAATTTGTTATTTTTAGTAGAATTGTAATTAAAATTGTTTTAATTTTCCGTTTATTGCAGCAAGAGCCGAAAACTAAAAAATACAGGAGCATGCGCATTTAACATTTAATAAATAGATATCTCGTAATTGAACTCTTTTGCTTTTCAAACACCTCGAGAAAATAGCAGAATGTTCTCGTGCATGATTAAAAAGCTTATAAAAGCCGGAGGAAAAAATATCAGTTCAGTTGTTTTGAAGTTTTTGTTATTTATTGTATCGTGTTGAGATCGGATTAGCTTGCTCTGCACTTTGGATTGAGTATTATTTAATGTTTTAGTAGTTTAAAACATAACTATTGTGTGATATTGTATGAATATCTGTGATAAAAAATTTCAGCATTTTGTTTTATTTCTTGTGATAAGAATAAATTTTATTAACGTTTTATCGGATTTGCGCATTCTATCTATTACGAACCCGCACTTTTTGGTGTTAGAAGTGGGATTTCAATGCCAATCACTAGAGCGATGAAAGAACATTTGAAATAGCTCGTCACTGCTTTTGCTGCATTCCAAGAAAAGATGGAAACTTACGAAGCATCATTTAAAGAAGACATGAAAGATTCTGTTAAAAAAGAGATGAAACCGTTAAAGGGGAAATGAAAGTGGGCCAAGATTCCCTTAAAGAGGAGATGAAAGCCGGCCAAGTAACTTTTACAGAGGAGATGGACGTTGTCCAGGTATCTGTTAAAGAAGAGATAAAAGTAGGTCATGGGGAAATAAAAAAAAGATATAATAATAGAAATAGAAATAGAGATAATAATAGATAAGAAATAGAGATAATAATAGGTAATAGAAAAATTAAAGAGGCTATGGAACTAAAAAAATTCAGAGGCTGAACTAAAAAAAAATCATTCTCAATGTAGCAATGAAATAGTGCAAACAGATATTCGCTCAAAATCTTGTAAAATGGAAAGGTCTGATATGTGCAAGCAATTATTATCCAATGTTACTATGTTGGCGCATCTTGTTCAAAATCGAAACATTCCTTCGTTACCGATGGTTCAGAAATAGCTATTGGAGCCGTATTACAATAACATGTTGGTGATAAGGTTGAACCCTTAGGATTTTATTCCAGAAAATTAACGGAAACTGAATTTATATTGCCATTAAGAAATAACGTATACAGGGTGTCCCGTAAATGTTGCGACAAACTTCTGGGGGAGGTAGGGCACATCATAAGGATTAGAAATTGCATAGGAACTCCTGCCCAGAAACGTCACTGTACGCCGCTAGGGGGTGTGGTACAGGAGTGTGCTAGTGGAAAGTGAGGATTGCTTCATTCCAGCGGTAGGCACCATACGAAAAGCATGGAACGCTATATGAACGGACAGCTTGTGAACACGTGGCTTCAACATGATGGGCACCTTTTCATTAATCAAATATAATCAAATTTTGAAGGAACTTAATTCATTTTATCAATATCGCGTCTCAAGTCAAATCAAAAAGTGAAGAGTTGAGACGGGAAGTCTGCGAAAGGCGAAGAAGGCACGCCCTGTTTTCGCTGAATCGTAAAGCCACCTATTTATAATCAAAATAAATTCTACAGTTTGATTCTTGAAGTCCTGTTTTGAATCATAGAATCGAAATCCATTATCCCAGACACACTGAATAACAAGATTTATTTTCACACTACCCAGTGCGAATAAATTGATTCTTTTTTAAATCGATTGTGAATTTTGGGTTCTTATTTTAGCTTTATTTCTGATTTACTCTCTGAGATTATTTGATTCCTTGTTCCATTAAGAGTTTGAATTTTTTTAAAGCTTAGAATTTTTCAGGTGATAATAGTCTAACTTTTGAATAGACAGGAAGTTCTTTAGTTTCGATACAGCGTTGTACATTATGAATAATTGAGCATGCACTTATTGTGGGATTAAATAATTCCTAAACTTTGTTTAACATTTGGCTATAATGTGCAGTGTCACAAATGAGAGTTAATCCCATAGAAGGTCCTGGGGCCCTGTATCCTTTAGAAGTCTAATTGGTGAAGTTATCGATCAAACGTCGATTTTTAGTATCCACCAAAATTCCAAATTTATTAAAACATCTGCTCCAATGATAGGTTGGGATCCACAATAACGAAATACCAGGGCCAAAGCTTCCCAAAATGTTAGGAAGCATTGGATGGCCCAGTATCAGTGTGAATAATTTGCTGGTAATGGGTCGAAAACGACATGCTATGCAGATAATTAAATTACATCACGCAATGCAATTGATTCAAAGTTTATTATTATTAAAATAGTTACTGTTTAATTACATTATAATATTATAATATTATAAACTATACTAATATTATATATATAATAATATAGACTCATTTTACAATTTTATATTTACTGAAGAACGAAACCTTTTTGATTATTTTCTAAAGCAGGGTTCGACACTTGTTTTTTAAGAAAGCATATTTCAAAAATGCGGAAGTTCAATGGCCAATTTGCACTGTCTATAATAATGATAAAATATATATTAAATAGAAATATATAATAAACATAGTAAAAATATGTATTTAATTATATCAAAAAATAAAGTAAATGCACGTGGATTGCAAGAGTTATAATGTTTTAGCAATTTGTATTCTTATTCCGTAGTTGTAAAACTGAACCATAAATGTAAATATTGTGTAGATATAAAGCACCTTTTATTTTAAATGTTTTAAGTTTTCATCCTTTTGCGACAATGGTGTATCCGGGAAAAGCCGAGTACATTGGATTTCTCGTATTCGTGTTTTAAACTGTTAATAAATTTCAAAAATGGAACTTAATGAATGAATTTGGAACGGATTCTATCAAGTTTTCGATTTGGATTAATTAAATTGCTTGGATCCTCTTTGTTTTTGATACGTGAATTTTTTTTTATTGCTCAAGATGGATTGGTTGCGTTTTGTTCATGTGATTACGGCAAAGCCATAAGGGCTATCTGCCTGAGGGAAAGGATGCCTTCGTGGATTAATTTATAAAAGAAGCTGGCTGATAAACGCGTTACGCACCAGGAAAACTACGAGAACGCACATGCAGCCAGCCTTTTTGTGGGATCCGAACCTCGGACCGAGCTACCAGTGATCAGCGAATTTACCGCTCGGCCGCTTATGGGCTCTTCAAGATGGATACTGATAAGCCGAAGAAACAAAGAATTTGGCCAAAAGATAGTAATAATTAGTTAAAAGTGTTTACGATAATATCAATAAGAATTCTTCAAATGCTTCGAATAATATTGCATAGAAAAATATTTAGGTTAAAGAAACTTAAGGATGAGCAGCTGTTACAGATACACATTGAAGTCTTGCAATCGGAGCACCTTTATGCGCTTTTTTGAATTGACCGCTCCTCCCGTTTGAGAGTTTGCGGAGGCGGTTTGTGGTGCGAGATTCGAACTGTTATACATTGTTAATTTAGAATAGAAAACAATTTTAACTTTCTTTAATCAATTATTTCAGAAACTATATTTGCGTTGTAAAAGATACTAGGATATCACGCCCCGCTCGCAAGACTTACCATAACACAAAAATTAACGCAATCAGCAGCTTCTGATCGCGTCTTCCGCGATATAAAGAACCACGATATTTAAACTTTAAAAGCAGTAAGAGACTCGTGTGAATTATCAGCAAAAGAGTCATCCGTTAAATTTCCCTATGTAGTTTCGGTTTTGTATTCTATGCTTATCTTTGTTGTGTGTTTCTGAATTTCTGATTACGATTTGTGTCTATTTGTTGCATTTATTTTATTGTTCTTCCAGTACAGATTAATGATAATTTGCATTTGTTGTCACCACCTCATCGGCTCGTAAGTACAGCACTTACGATAGAGAGCGTTTGCCAATATATTCAGCTGTTAAATTGTTTCGGCACGTGGTCGAAGGTTAAGATTCCGTTCACTGATTACAAACCATTGATTTATGCTCTACAACAAAAACATGATGGGCCCACTTCCTCCATCAAACGACTACAGATATATTTCGATTAGATGAAGAAAAAATCAACACAATAGATCTAGTCAAGGCTTATCATCGAATTCCAATTCAGCAATCTGATACAGAAAAGACAACGGTAATTACTCCCATTGGGTTATACGAGTACAAAAACATGACATTTGGGGTAAAAATTGCAGCTCAAACATTTCAAATATTTTTTGATAAAGTTTTACGAGGTTTAGATTGCTGTTATGCTTACCCCGATGATGCACGTATAGCATCGGAAAATGAAAACACACACAAAGCCGATTTAAAAAAGGTGTTTGAACGATTGAAGAACTACGGACTCAACGTTAATTTATCTAATTGCGTTTTGAGGCAAAACGAAGTCTGACTCCTAGGTTTTCTAATTTCTTCGGATGGTATATCCCCATTACCAGAAGAGATAAAAGCTCTATCCGAATATCCGCTACCTAAGACTGTAAAGGATCTAAGGCGATTTCTTGCAATACTTAACTTCTACGAACATTTTATACGAAATGCAGCTGAGGCATAATCTTGCCTTTATGATCTGGTTAAAGGAAAAATTAAGAAGGACATGTCTGAACATACATGGGATGATTAAAAAAAAAAAGATGCATTCAACTTATGCAAGTCAAGCACACAACCGCTTATTCATTTTGGATAAAAGTACCGGTTTTCGACTCTTGATTGATAGCGACGCTGCAATTAGTTGCATTCCTAAAAATTTACAAACTTTAAGACGATTCAAGATTTGACTTTATACGCTACCAATGTTCCAAAATATATAGTTACGGCACAAATAGACTCGAATTCGATTTTGGTTTAAGAAGACGATGGATTGTGCGTGGTGGATCCGTTCCCTGCCCCCCCCCACGCTCACCGGATTCATCGAGCCTTGATTTCTTTTCCTGGGGAGCCATCAAAAGTGTCGTATATCACGATACTGTTGTGTCTGAAATAAATCTCGTGGCAAGACTCGCCTGCCCAGCTGCTACAATCAAAGAAACTGCCGGTGTGTTTGAACATGTCCGGCAATGAATGCTCCGTCAGTGTCCCAGGTATGTCGGGCGTCTGATGGTGCAAACTTCGAACATCTGTTGTAACATTCAAGCTGTCGTACACCATCTGTATCCATGTTCAATAAACGTTTCAAATTAATCACTCTCTTGTTTACTTTTTTATCTTCTACCACTGCTACCACTTAACCCTGACACTTCCGGGCATGGGTTCCTGTGCAATTCTTAATTATTACGATGTGCCCTTCCTCCCCCAGAATTTTGTCGCAACATTTACGGGACACCCTGTATATTTTGGAGCATATTAATACTCTGTAGAGTCATTAGGATGTTTTGAAAGCAGGTGCCATTAAAACGGAGTAATGCACTCACCGGGACTCTAAACCTCTTGACTAGGCGTCGAGTATATCGTCAGTTACACACCGAAGGCACGGGAAAAGGAGGAATATACCTTACAACTTGCATTTTCGTTTTCAAACAGTTAAAACCCTCATTTAAAATTTTTAGGCATTAAAATTCTAGAAGGCTCTTAAATTATTTTAAAACTAATGTCTAAATAAATTAGCAAATCTAATCTTATGATCTTGCAAATTTATTTAGCAACTTTTATAGAATGGTTTCTCGCGCTGTGAAAAAACAACGGTACCCAGAGACATCTAATGTTGAATAACGTAGTCCTCCACTCGAACAGGGATATCCAAGAATCCAACTTTGGGATTTGGAATTTGTTTTATTAACTCCTTCGTATTTTTGATGCTTTTAACGAATTTTTGATTAACAAACTCCAAGATTTCAAAGCGAGCAAATGGCAACATTGCACGAAAAAAAATCTCCAGCGTTAGAGACTGTATATCAGAAATTCTAAAGATATGCTCTTTTAAATTATTTTTGTGGATTGCTGTTGGATTGAATTTTATGGTTTAAGTGGGAAAGAACATAATATTTTAATAAATAAAGGTAACATACAAAACGTTGCAAAAAACGCTGCTTTGGAAACGCAATATAATAGCTGAATGCTTTTAGAATTTATTTAAAACTAAATTCCATTGTATAAGCTTTTATTTATTCTTTTATCTTTAATTAAAAGGAAAAAATTATAGAATCTTTTTATCATTAAATTAAAGATAAATATTTTATCTTTGATTAAAGCAAGAAATTATAGGTGCGGCTGATACGCGCGATAATACAGTACCTGTTGAGAAGTAACTGCTTCGGAATTCTCATGTTAAAGCTCAGGCTGTAATAGAATATTGTTTTATTGTTATTTTTATTATCAATTGCTTTTGCAAGGCATTAAAAATAAAGTATGTATAAATTATAAGTACGCAGAATAGCAGTAGTGAGAAGAAATATCCTGTTAATATTTTTCGTACATAGAATATTTGTACTGAATGCATAAGATAATAATTTCATCCAAGTAGCTGTGAAGTGTTATTTGCACTTCAAAAGCCGTAAACGCGGCTCCCACCATAAACACGTTTCACACCATAAAGACGTTTCAAGAAAATCACTTCAATATGCGAATAAATAAACACACGAACTTTTTACTACGTTTATTTACAACATATTTGTTATTTTAAATTACTCTCAAAATGAGAGATCAAAGCTTTTAAAAAAAAACGTTCAAAAAAGTCAAAATTAAGGAATTTTAAATTCACGCTCACTAATTCTTCCGACACATTTAGCACTCAACAAGATTCTGATAAAAAAAAAACCAGTTGCAAGCAAACAATTATCTAATGTTTTTTAAACCACCACGTTTTGCCTGTTAGAAGCAAAACAGTTTTATTTCAAAAGAGAAGATTGGACAGTACGAAATTTGTTTTGCTCCATGTGTTTTCAAATATTTATACCACAAAACGGGACGAAAAAACGGGTGGTCAGCAATTTGGCAATGTTTTATATTTTATATTAGACTGGATTGTATTTTATTTTAAAATCCATTTTTTTCTTCGTGAATCAAAGCTTATATTGAAAAATTCGATTTCAGAATTTTCATCCAAAGTGAAAATGCATATCTTGACTTAAAACGCAAAGCATAAATCTGCCGAGTTCTGCATTCCTCAAACCGTGTATGTTTCCCTATCTTTCGTTAAATACAAGTAATTAAAATACATATTCTGCAGTTTATATACGCACACACATACATACATATATATATGTAAGAAAAATAAAGAACTATGTAGAAAATTAAATTAGCAACGTAAATTTCCTTTCTCAATTCTAAAAATAGTAACTTCTCTCTGCACTGCCTCATTTATAGATTAATCCATGTCATATGACTCTTAAATAATTCTGGTGATGGAACTAAAACTCAAGCAGCCAATAGTAATTTTACAGCAATATTAACTATAAAATCAAAATGCATTGAAAACTAAAACTAACTCAGTCTAAATTAGGATTTCACCCTGAACATATCGCATTTGCTCTCAACGCTTTGGCCTAGCTGGACTGCAGTCTGTCTGTTCCTCCTTTCTTACTGCAAAATTGCCTAAAATGTAGGCATTTTGGAGTGGGCACAATTGGTGTGCCAACTTGTTTGTGGCCGAAAACGTGTTTGCTGAGATAAAAAATGTATATTTAATATGCCTTCGCCTCCAATATTCTATTCATTATGGATCAACACTTCTACGCCATCAAAATTCCTCCTGGTCGTAAACTAATGACTTTGTTTTAATAACAATTGAGTAGACAGGATATATATCCTGTGCGTTAAATTTCCATTGGAAACGTCATCGCAGTGTCTACAGTAACCAAACACCTCTTCAAACTTCCATGTGTAACGGAAATTCATAATGGATATCGAGTATCTGCAAGTTCAATAAAATGTGTCTGCTTATCTGCAAGTCTAAAAGTGCTAACGTCAGTGAAAAAGGAAGTGTACGACCATCTCTTATATATTTAGAACAAAAAAGGTATTTTAAATCAAAAAAGGTATTTTAAATTATCAAAATGAATTAATGTGTGACTGTGCTTCACAGATGTGTTATCATCGAAATTGTGGTTTTGCTTGTGAAAGATAATTAGTTAATTAATGTCTTCATGCTCTAATCTTCAAGATATCTACGGCTCCGTCCATCTATAAGCGCAACCTGGAATCAGCAAATCAACTACACCCAATCGTGCCAAAACAAGTGCATTACAAGTTTTAAATGTTTTTTAAAGTTTAAAATACATTCTTCAAAATTTAATCCAGCATATGTGGTGATTTAATAAATGCAACGTATTTCAACGGCGATATGGAAATGTGGGGAAAAAATCGAATTATAGTGCTGAGAATGCTTAAAAATGAAATCTAGTGCCAGCCTTTCAAAATTAATCCAGCGTTTGTTATAGTAAAATGACGAATGTTTTCCGTGAGCCAGCCTTTCAAATCATTCCAGTGCTTTCAAGGTTATCAAACTGCATGGCTTGATCGGGCTCTTATGCGAATAAATTAGGATCTTTCACAGTTATAGGATTAAAATTCCACTTGTAGTAGGTAACAAAAAATTATTTTAACTTCTGATTTTGTGTAATTTAATCTACATTTGGAACCGATGTTTTTTTCTTAAAAAATTGGACATTAAAAAATGCAACACTGTGATATGAGAAAATATAATTTAATATCACTAGAAATTTAAATTCTAATATTTTAATAAAGCAAGTAAAGAATTCTTAGATTTCTAATCATTTTTAAGGAAGGAAGGCTATTAAGATAAATATTTATATTTTTGATATTTTATTGAAAATTTTGAATAAGAATTTTATAATTATTCTAAAAATGAAGTGGATATAAAAAATAAGTGAAATTAGTACAGGTAAACGATATGAAATTATGGTAAATGCATGCTAAAATTTATGGGTTATATGTTAAGTATAGAGTATGTTGAGGGTGTACTGCTTCCGACAAACAGACCTAGTATTACCTCTATACAGTTGTTCCTTTTACTCTCTTCATATAAGATAATGTTGAAGGCTCTCATTTTACGATCGAATGTAATTATTTATATTAATATTATTATTATACTTATTTTATTATGGAATGTATTGGTGCAATTCTTAAATGCCAGTTACCTTATGCAAGGAATGGAGGCATTTTCAAGTAACTGACTAGGCACCCTTAGCCACACAGTAGAACACACTGGTTTTCTCAAGAGGACAGCCCTATTAAAGGAAATGTTTTCAGGAATTGCAAATGAAAGATAATAACGGTGAAATCATAATTTCTGAAAACGTTACTCCTATAATTTATCGTGTTAAAATATAATATGTCAATATGGAAATTAGTATCGTCAATATTTATGTCTTACATTTAATTATAAGTACTGATTTTTATAAAAAGTTTTATTTTTGATAGTGTGTTATAACAAGAACTTTCCTTGAAGAATTATGATTATGTGGAATTTCAATCAAAACGACTCTTGGACAGAAATGCTGAAAAATTTAAAAGGGCTCTAAAAATTTATTTTATTTCTAAAAATTAATATTTATAAATTATCCATTACAGTTATTTATTACATTATTGCTGATTCACTTTTTTATGATTTACCTTTTTCCTAATTTCTAGTGCTTTAACGCTTTTTCTTTAAAAAGGCTTCTCTGTCGTTACGCCATTTTCTCCTTGAAGGAGGGGATATGTAAGAAAAATAAAGAATATATAAAGTACTAAATTAGCGACGTTTATTTCCCTTCTCAATTCTAAAAATAGTAACCTCTCTCTGCACTGCGTCATTTATAGAATAATCCATGTCTTCATGACCCTAACATAATTCTCGTTATGTAAATGGAACTAAAGCAGCCGATAGTAATTTTACAGTAATATTAATAAAAATGCATCGAATAAAAACGTATTGAGAACCAAAACTAACTCATTCTAAATTAAGATTTCACCATGAACATAACGCTCTTGCTCTCTACGCCTTGGCCTAGCTGGACTGCAGTCCGTCTGTTCCGCCTTTATTACTGTAAAATTATCTAAAATATAAATTTTTTAAAATAGTCCCAATTTAATGGCTTGTTTTTTTTTTTTATTATGGCAAAGCACACTAGGGCTATCTGCC